TGTCCTCATATACTACAGTTTTTGTGTAGATCGATAAAGCGTTTAACCGATTAGGGTAGGCTAAAAGCATGTGATATTCGGTCAACGATACGCCAGTGGGACGCTCAAGCCGTCCCTCAAAACGTCGATGCCTGGAAACTTTCAACTTGACACAGAGAACTTGACCAACATATTGCCTACGCATCTGAAGCATTTGGCTAAAAAAACCTTAATAGTTCTCTTTCTCGTTTTATTGTTTTTGTTAGACCAGTTCTTCCATTACTGCTACACTTTCATAGAATTGAGTTTCTAATATCCATTATGGGACACACTTTTGCAACAGTGCGTCCCATAATGGATGTTATAAACTCAATTTTATGAAAGTAACAAATAAGTAGACAATAGGTAGACAAATGAGTATATAACAAGCGGTTATTACTGAAAAACTTCAAGCACAGAAAAAAAGAATCCAAGCCACCTACTCCATGTGGTCTTCTTCTTCAACAATGTCTCGAGGTTTGTCGGCGAAAAGACTAATTTTCCCAATTGTTATCCCACTAGGACCCAGCCAGAGAAAACGGTTTGCTTCTCCGTGAGGAGGATATACCAGGAGTGCACTGAGGTCGGGGAGAGTTTGTGATGAAGCCGTACTCTGCATCGACATGCATACTTGTTGAGAATCTAAACATAAAAGAAACCATCAGTAGCAGCTTGACAAAAAAGACCTAATGGAATAACCTTTGGTTGAGAAAAATGGATGGAATATATGAAGAGGCGCTTCCGGCATTGTAATCCAACCAGCCTGCAGATTTGCCGCCCCAATGTAGTTCGTTTTTGGAGAAGGAGACATATCGATGGAAGCATAGACGGAGCACAGCCGGCCAGGCTGACATACTAACATAAGCCACCTAGGAAATACCAGTACTTAAATACTATACTTGGCCGGTTTTCAAATAACTCACTTTGCTGCTTTAGGATTATCATCGTTGAGCATGTACAGATAAATGTCAGAAATACTGAGATTTTTCTCGCCACCAAAGCTCGTGGAATGCTCCTTCACAAAGCTAACCACACCAGTCGATGAAACCATGGTCTCGATAATTGCACCTGAACACGAGCACTATACTGATACGCTGCGCTGAATATAAACAGTCGTAACGTAACCATCGCCTTCCACAATTAAAGGAGGAGGATCATCAAAATATTCAAAGCTCAATTCCCAAGGGGGAGAGACAAAACAAATTTCCTGATCATAAACTATCCTCCATAAAAAGCTCGGCCGATTCTAGTCCGGTTAACGTTTTTGTAAGAAGCGCAACATATCTTTCAATATTGAAGGGAAAGGGGTTGTAGTGCTGGGGTAGGTCTACCAATGAATTAGCCGTGTAAAGGATCAAATCAGCGAACAATCTTAATATCCAACATTATCTTCGTATTGCAGTTTTACTACTGACCAGGAAAGGCATGCAGCTTCCCATGGAACTTTGAATCAGACCCATATATTTCGATAGAGCTTCGAACACCGACTACAAATCAAAATGAACTCTCCAAGTAAGTTGTGAGCAGTCGAAGTTGGCTGGAAATAAAGCGCTTCATGTAATCGTGATACCGTCCGGGCAGTGGCAAAGTCGCCGTGGAGTAGTGGTATCGTTGTACTCCAACGGAAGAGAATGCACGACTCCTCCCGACTGGAGAGCGAGAGCACTACCACTACTCCACTGCGACTTGAAAGCCCGGAATTAGCACGGTTCATATGTAATGCTTTTACTTCAGCCAACTTTGACTGCTCACAACTTCCTTGGCAGGTTCATTTTGCAGTTTTAGTTTCCATATTTGTAATCAGCGTTTGAAGCTCTATCGATATATCTGGGTCTCAATTCAAAGTTCCATGGGAAGTTGAATGCCTTCCCTGGTGAGTTGAATAACTAGGCGCTCACAATAAGATTAGTAAAGCAGCCAATAATGTGCACTACAATGTTGACGGTTAATTTCTGACCTTGTGTAGTACCCAGCAGGATGTGTCCAGTTTCGCCTTCCTTGATGCATTCTGGATTCCATGCCACACTACTCAAAACGCCCTAAGTAACGAGAAATTATTCTCACCCAAAGACTCCTATAAAGCAAATAAATGAACTGATTAAGCGTAACTATCAGCTTGCACATCTGGACGATTTTCACATGTATTTCATACAGATATCACACAAATAAGTATTGTACAGAAGAGGTGCCAACCTTTATCTTCTTCAGTGAATAGGCAACTCCAGATTTCACTTGGACGTAGTAATTCTCACCCTGTTTAGTGGTAGCTAAACAGTGTTGTCCAAGGGGAGATAAGAAGATGTTACCGAGCGCATCTCCTGGTCCAGTAGGGATCTTGATTTCTGTAAGCATTCTGTCATGACTGGAAATTCGCTGGGTCATGTTGGCTATTTGCGTGTTTTCCAATTGCTAACTCATTTTTTCTCTTTAAGAATAACGCACGCACATGCATCCAAGAACATGGAAGGATAAAGGCATGCACATGTGACGTAGGATTCTGCCCTAAGAAGTTGCTAGTGAAGTGGTGCAGTGGCAAGTGGCATTACTTCTTACGTGCACGGTGCGGGGATCAAATCTCGAATCGAACGTCGTCCAGGTCAAGCAAGCTCTCCATCCCTACGTAGTCGGTCAGATGGTGTCAGAAAGGTGCAGCCTGCTGTCTAATTTTGATATACAAAAATAACCCTAACCGGTATATTTATTGTTGGTGGAAAGCGACTGGTGTAATACGGTTCGCTCATCGATCACAGCCAACATATGTCCATTGCAAACGCGAACAGCACTTATGGACACATGTCCTTGCAATCTGAATAACAAGACGAGTTTCACTCATAATTTGTGTTGGTAACCCAAAGAAGTTGAGTTTCCTATAAAACGTCACAAACCTTAACACTCCTTAAGGCTGATGTCAGAGTCCGCGATCCGTCGCAGGTTTCGCTGATTTTCGCGATTTGCGCGATTTGCGCGATTCACGCGACGGATCGCAAAAATTGCAAGTGTGTGAACATTTGAAACACTGAATATGAAACAAGTGGAATCATGAGCAGTCGTCATTCAGCCATCACTATCAAGCAGAAGTGGCGGCAGGATTGGAGAACACCTTGCAGTATTGATCGGGCACTTGTGATTTCCGTGACCCGTCGCGTGAATCGCGAAATCGCGAATCGCGCAAATCGCGCAAATCGCGAAATCAGCGAAACCTGCGACGGATCGCGGACTCTGACATCAGCCTAAGAAATTCCAATGAGGGTAAACCTACTTCAAATCACGTTTGATGTTCTGTTGTGACCGAACGAAAATTCCTAATTGCTGGGCTGACATTCCACAACATTCACGGCTATATTGTTGACATCAAATGATACAGTCTAGAGCGATCCTAAACGAATGGGAAGCTTTCACTCCCTATCACTCGTGAAATATAAGATGAACACACACAAACAATTCTTCATACTAAGTAAGAAGCCGGCAGAAAATTTCCACCACTCTTCAGGAGTGACAGGATCCGTCATCACCACTGGGATCAGAATGTGATTGCTCATACGATCATAGAGCAACATAGCAGTAGAGTGGAGCGCGCTGGTTTAACTTGTAACCCCTAGTGGCCCCTCACCATATATAAATTGCTCGCACTGCAAAGATGAAGATGAGGAAAGGTGAGCGTCATCGCCACCGTATGGAGTAGAGTCGAACTAAACCTTGCTCAAATAACCGGGAAATCCCACTTTAGCAGTTCGGTTGATTGATGTGGGAGGATAAACTAACCAGCCCGTGCTTCTTCCCATGGTTGGTGCGCTTGATGTTAGACGCCGGTCTAGCAAGGGGGGTGGGGGAGGGACCACGGTCAGTGGCTCATCTCACCTAATCGAAATATCCGCAGGGGAATAAGGTGTATGAACCGTTTTGCTTCTGCAAAAAAGGGATCAAACATATTTCAAAAAAAAAAACATTTGCCATGCTTCTAGAACCTCAAAAACTAAGCGAATGAGTGCTCCCTACCTCCCTACTATACAATAAGCCGCTTTTTGGCACATACACTTTTGAAACTATGGCGCTGAATTGGAGCTGAATTTGAGGAACATCTCGAAAAAAATATTTAACGAACGATTTAAAAACAAACGATTTACCCCACTATCTTCAGCATTTACAGCATTTTAACAAGCAGGATTTGTTGTATATCAGTTTCTGATTTTAGCGCGCATCTGAACTTAAGAGCCTAAATTTGTGGAATGGGAAAGGCGGAAGTGGTACGGTGGCAAGTGCGCTGCTTACCAGGCATACGTCCCAGGGATCAAATCCTAGATCTCGCGCCAACTGAGCCTTTCGTCTACGAGGTTGGCTAATTGGTACCAAACTTTTCTGTGAAGTAGAAGCTGACTTGTACATTGGCATCCTTGCAATTCATTCTATAGGCCAAATCACATTCCAAATGTTACTACGACTCTTAAGGTGTTCGGAATGCATCGCGCACCCTAAAAGAGCACAATTGAACCAGGATGAGTCAATGAACACATACCCTTATGAAGTATGACATATGCGCAAGTGTTTCAAGTTTCACTATTCACTAAGAGAGGATTTGAATCGGACACCTAAATGCTCTAGCCTCAATCTAATGCGTCCTCTTCATTTATGATGTTATTTATCTCTCAGTAGCTATTCTAGTCTATCAACAGCAAACATTAAAACAGGTAAAGAATAGTCGCCTACTCCAGGGCGTGTGAACGCTTTCACTGATATCCATAGATGTCGCCATAATTTATTGAGTGCCTCCGTGACTAGTAGAAATTCTACTAGAAAGAGCGTGCGAAATAACAGTGAAAAATAACAAAGGGAGAGTCAACTAGAAACAAGTCTAAGTAACAAACAGAAACATACAATGTGACGTTATTCACCAAAAATCGAATATACAAGGTAAAGAAACGAGCACTACTATTATCCATAGCTTGGTCGCGGCTATTCCCAGATTTAACCCAGTTCCGTTTCCTAGATATTGTTAAACCGCATGATCAGATCCATTGCAGGCATGTTGTCAGTTTTGAAGAGAAGTTTCTTCCCATTATCTAAAAATGTAAAATTAGAAGTATCTTTATGGCATATGGGAAATTCGGAACGTTGGACCCCAGATCCGGTAGACAAACTTCAATAAATGGAAATAAGAGCGGATCCTAAGATCTACGAAAGTATTTCTGCAACCCGAGATGTGGTACAACAAGTTTGTACATTTGAAAATCAAATAAGTGTTTACCTTACTACTACTGCCTGGTTTACGGACTACTTGATTTTTCCGCAATGGCCCTAGGACTAAGCCTTGGAGAGGAGAGGGACCCGCGATAGAACGCACAGGTGGTTTAAAGGGCCGAGTTCAAATAATCCGTCGACCGAACTGATGATATAGGAACAATAATTGCCCTAAGGTAAATGTATAAAGTTAAACAACCTAAAGTAGCAATGAAGAATGGAGGTTGCCGATCGTTACGAACTTCAGCTGACACTTTGACGGTAGGGTTCGTCATCCTAACCTTCGGACTCATGATGCACTCCCAAAACCTCCTGAGATGAATAAAGAACATCTGTTAGAAAAAAGCGAGAAGAATTACGACAGTAAAAAAAAGAAATATCAACTGGTCCACGTATTTCATTATTCAAATGAAGCTCGAAAAAACTAACCTTACTGATGCATTTCCGCTATGGAATGGATCCAGTGAAATGTCAACCGATTTCACTTTCGTCAAATCAAGCGCTCGCGCTGCAAGAGCAAGGCGCTCTGCTGGCTTCCACCGAACTCCATATCGAATTCGTTGCCACATTTGACACATCTAGTAATAGGAGTATAGTCATCCTAAACATAACTATCAAATTTCATGATATACGCGCGTAATAACTTCGTATAGCACTGCCAAAAGCCTTATTTACCAAGCAATTTATAGCAAAATCAATCATATGCAAAGCCATGTGACTGGCAATTAAAAACTCTGCAAGAAATTGAAGGCACAAAATTCACATTAATCACGACAATAACAACTAATTTCACATATATGTAACTGTAACAACATAACAAGCGTTTCTAACGACACTGCAACTGAAACTAACACATTCACGCGGTGGCAGCGCATATGGACTGCTAGTGATGCGTGCCCGTGGGGCTGGCAGCGCATATGGACTGCCAGTGATGCGTGCCCGTGGGGCGATGGCAGCCCATATGGTCTCCATACCAAAAGCCGCCGGCCAATAGCTTATATCGTGATATTCTGGATTTTTTGTTCAATGAAATAGTTATGTACTAACATATACATAACCATTAATTTTTGGTCAACTAAAAGAACAGATATACTTTGAAGAAGTTTTCTCAGCGGAAGTACATTTTTGACTCGAATATTCGTCGTTCCTTTTTTAACTCTCACGAGCATGTTAATGGAAAGAGTACTAGAAATGGTCTCGGCTCATGAATAACTTCCGGTAGATGGAGACGTTTGTAGTTCTCCCAAAACAGTCGAGACAAAAATGCTTCCAACGGAGCGAAATCTAACACATATTGCCTTTCAGTATTACTACATGCCCTTTTCACCGAAATTCTGATACAGTACCCTAAATTACCTCCAAACATTGAATATTTCGAAAATTACTTTGATTTATTCGTTCTCTTTCATGAGGAAACGAAATTCATGTGAGAGAGGCAGTGGCGCTCGCAAATCCCTGCCCATTTCGAGCGAACAAAAAGCAAAACGCGCGCCGTCGTGAATGTATTAATGAGCAGGTCGCCATTCTGACGCCAATCGGCAAATAAAGTCTATGTTGGAGTGCATTTGATCCACCGTTTCCGACTGCAGCTCATGAATAATTTCTGGTTTGTACGAGTCGCGTGCTTCTTCAAGCAAGGAGCCAAAGATTTCGCACTCGATATTCTCTTTGATCTGAAAAATGACGCGTAGATCTGGCGAAGAAAGGAATGTTTTCTCAATTATATTTTGAGTAGTCCTTTTTTGGTCAACCGCTTCCCTGGTAAGGCACAGCACGTCGCGCTCACTTTCTCAAACAACGTTATAAGCCACATTCATGCGACCTAGACCTTGAGCACATTATTCACACAGTGACTTTGAATTTTTTTTCCTTAGGACTATCGCTTACTTTACATGCACAAAAACTTAACTCGAGCATAAAAAGAGTTGTAGAGTATTGCAAAATCTCTGCTGTCAACAGCTTTCTAGAACTGTCAGAATGGGATTTCTGGGATTACAAGTTCTGCAGTATTAACTAAGTGCCCATACCAAAATGTAAGCTAAATGAGGCCCATAGAATTGGATTCGTATGAATATGATATTAAATGTATACGAGTACTGAAAAAAACCAACTCCATCAGACCTAAGGCGCAATTAAGTGTAGAGATGTTATTCTAACCCCATATCATGATCGTGATAAGACTCTCTACTAAATAAAACATCTTTCTTGTGCATACGCACCCCCTCCAAGAGGTGTTGCTGTC